GCCCGGGGGCTCAGTGGGAAGAAATACCCTCGCCACCCCCTCTGCCTGTGTCTTTGGAAGGGTTTAGGCACGGCAGAGCAACCACAGCTCTAGGGCGGAGGATCTCCTCCCCGGGTAGACCCTGTATTTCCCCTGCACCCCAAAAGTCACTGGTGTTCACCTCTGAGCCTCCCCAAGGCTCAGCACTTACGGAGCAGAGGTAGCAGGAGCCACACGGATCACAAGCAGCTGTTCACCTTGCAAACAGCATGCCAGAGGGAAAAAACCCACTGCCAAATGGCCTGATGCAAGACACAAATACTCGTTACCCACACAGAGACCTCACTGCAGGTGTGGGAAACCTCAAAAAGTAGAGGGAGCAAACAGGATCTCACCTGCTCACAACCCAGCTCTGGACCTGCCTCAACTGGTGTCCTTCTGGCAGAAGGGCATGATCCCAGAACCTCTGCCAAGAAGGGCAGGACATCCCCCCTTCGGGCTCAGCTGAGGAATGTGCCACCCAAGCGCAGCAGAAACTGAACCCTAATGAGCCGTCCCCCTGCAGGCCCTGCTCCTCAGGGCCCTGACCCCCAGGGAGGCCGGGATATCTGAGCAGGCTCCTCCCGTGCCCTGTCACACTCAGGGGACAAAGGGCAGCAGGACAGGAGGGCTCTGCTCACTCTGGATGGAGGCAGAAGAGCAAAGCATCCATTCCCTCCCTGTGTGAGGCAACCAGAGGTACCTGGCTGCCCACAGAGCTGGAGCCATGCATTGCCACGGGCCCCAGAGCAGGAGCTGGAGCCGTGCAGCTGCCACGGACCTGGCTGCCCACAGAGCTGGAGCCGTGCAGTGCCACAGACCCCAGAGCAGGAGCTGGAGCCGTGCAGCTGCCACGGGCCCCAGAGCAGGAGCCGTGCAGTGCCACGGGCCCCAGAGCAGGAGAGGAGCCTGCAGTGCCACAGGCCCAGAGCAGGAGCTGGAGCCGTGCAGCTGCCACGGGCCCCAGCGCAGGTGGCTGCTGTGACACTGCCTGCAGCAGCCCTCCAGCTCCAGCTGCTGCATCCCTGGGCCCCCAACACCCACCAAGTGCTGCAGCCTCAGCTCCCCAAGCTGCCCATCCGTGCTGCCTGTCCACCCTCCCCTGCAGCACCGGGCACTGCGATGCAGCCACCAAGCTCGTCACCAGCTCCCAAAACCTGGCACAGGCCAGCTGCCGCCGCCACCACCACCACCAGGTCTTTGCACCACCACCAGGTCAGGTAGGCACACACCTCAACAAACCCTGCCAGGACAGCCAGCAGCAACTCTTTGAACAACCACAGAGACACGGAAATTCATAAATTCGTCAGCCAAAGCCCCAGCTCCCGTCGCTTTGGGGAGCGGCAGTTTTGCATGGGACACAAGGAGTCTTGGTTTCCACAAGCTCTCCAGCTGAGAACTCAGCCTCACAAGAAACTCTCTAACACACAACCACTGCAAATAAACATACAACACAACCAACTGGGACAGAAGCTTGAAGAGACACTGTAAAATTGATTAGTCATCAAAATCATCAGACCATAAAAGAAGCTCCAGCTGTGCTCATCTTTTTTGTGTGGATAAATGCAAGAGGCAGGGCTCTATTTAACATTAATTCCTTTTTGTGGTTGGTTTTGGTTGAGGTTTTTTCTGTTTACTAGAGCTTGTTACTCTGGTTGACAATTAAGCCCATTATCCAATTCCTTTCTTTTTTCACCATTCCACCAGTCTTTTTTCATAGCCTTTGAAGAAGGAAAAAAAGAAAGGTAAATTCCAATAAGTGCTATTTTAAAATGAAAAATGTGAGTTTACAAAGAGCTCAGGAAGGTGTTTGAACCATGCAACCTTCTGTTTTAGGACCCCAGCACGCACTCAACACAAACAATTCCTTTCGCATTGGAAACAATTTCAAGTCACACCGCTCCAAGTCAAGCACTGGCCCAAATGTTCTGCCAGACCCTTGGCATAAGTGTAGGAGGGCAATAGAAAACAAAGATTTGAATTTTGGCTAGTGTACTTCCGCAAAATCACTGTCAGCACATATTTTTCAGTTCATACAAAACCCAGCAGAGGAAAATTCAAACAATAACTAACATGGAGGTGAGAGGTTCAAAAAAACTGCAGAAGAAAAACCCTAATATGGTGCAACTCATGGAATTGTTCAACACTAATCATTAACCTGGGTGCTCATGGTATCCCTCTGCAAACCCGGTCCTTTTGGCTTGGTTATAGAACTGACCCACATGTCCTGTGGATGCTTTCACAATACCACAAAGAATGATCCATTTTAATAGTTAAAATATGCCCTCACTGTAGAAGCCTGCCTTACCAGAACCTATTTGCTGTAGACACTCACTACAACAGTACCCTAGCTCTATGCACCACACAGAGCTGGCTGCAAACAGCAGGTTTTTGTGCTTGGGTATCTCGGATTCCAAGGGCAAAAACCTCAGCAAAGCCACAACCAACATCTTTATCCAAGACCTTAAGACCATGTCCCAGTTCTACCTTTGCATTCATCACCCTGAGAAACAGGAATTTATAACCCCACCACAAAAATGCTCCCTTCCTCTTTTTTCTGTACTGAGAAAAAAAATTTTTGAAGGAGGAAAACATGGATTCTCTAAAGCAGGAGCAGCAAGTTGCCTGGTCATACTCCCAGGCCAAACTGCAGTTATATCAGGTTGGGTTTAACTTCTCTAGTCAAGCTCTGGCCATCTCCAGCCTCTCTGGGACCCTGTCCCTACACCCCATTACTCTTCTCTTAACACCTCACTGAGAAAGCTCTCACAAACATCTCAGCTGCTACAACACAAGGAGCCATTCTCATTCCCACTGCAGTAATTTCTGCCTGGGTGCTAATTTGTAAACTAGGCAAATAAAAGACAAACTTGGGGCTTGAATTTGTTTTATTGCCATTGTTCTGTCCTTTGGGTGGGACAGGCAATGCCAGTGTGGCACATTGCTGCCTTCCTCTGGATGTTTAGCCAGCCAGCCTTCAAAGTGCCCAAAACTCTGGCATTTTCTAGGATAGCTGTGTTTATACTGCTGTCCTATAGGAAAAAAATCCACCAACTGCATTTTTGGAGGAAATAGGGGTGAACCACTAGATTCATGCCTTGTGGCCAGCTACACCAAATAGCACTACATGGATTTATGGCACATGGATGGTGCTGGTTCCAACACACACACACCCTTCTCCAGACCCCAAAACCTCCCTGGACCCTGTATCCAAACAACTATCATCAAGAACCTTCAACAAGCACCAACAATCCCATAAATCTGCTTTTTATGGCATGGCAGAAGCCTAATTACATGATTAAATTCTGTCAAAAATTAAAGCCCACACATTTGCTCTAAAATTGCAATTAGCTCTTTCAGGCACCAAATAAAAGCAATGCTAACATTTCAAAGACATGTTGGCAACACAGTTGAACTAAATTACATTACTGACCCTAAACAAATTGAGGGCACTACTTTGAGTCCCTTTCCTTTATTTTCTCTGTCTGCTAGTGTTATAAATACAGGCACTGTGATCCCTCTCAATTGTGACCTGAGCATTAACAAGCTAAGCAGCTCACCTATTAACTCCATATCACACATTCTTATCCTACTGGAATCTTCTGCTGTTTTCTCTAACATAAAACTTTGCTGGCCTCACTACAGATGTACAGCAATGTTTTGCTATGAACCCTTTTATTTCTGTGACACCACCTTTAATGAAGATTGAGCTTTTTAATTACAAGCCACACATCACTTTTTTTACAAAAACAAGCTCTGTAAATGAAACACACTGTGTGTAATATGGGACAAGATCTGTGTAAAATATGCACTATGATGGGAAAAGAAAACTAAATTAAGCTTCTTCACGATTTTCATAAGAGAAGCAACATTTTAGCAAAATGTAACATTGCATATTAGAATGGAGGGAAGGCTTGTGGCTATTACACTTCCTAGCAGTTCCCTAGAACTGCCCAGGGAGAGGTTTGTCACACCTGGGGAACAGGAATGATACAGCAAATGATACAGCAAAAACTCCGTCACGTGGAAAAACAACACAGTAGGTACCTAAGAAGAGAGCAGGTACCCCAAAAAGATGGAACTCAGGAGGGATACCATCCTTGCCTTGCTTTTCCAGCTCACCACTAGCACTCTGTGACCACCAAAAGCAAACCTCAAACCCCAGCTGACTGCCCAGGCATCCCCCTGGTCTTGTCCTCAATATGGATGCGTGCCAACAAAAAGGGAAATAGCACCTGACAGGTCCTAAAGACCCTTTTTTTTTTTTTTTAATGGCTAAAGTTATCTTTTACAGCTTAATAAGGTAATATTATTAGACTTTGTCTTTTTAATTACATGCATATATGGAACAAAGGGATGAACCCATATTAGGGCAAGCTTATGTGGCAGCAGCCCTTTACATACCTGATCCACACTTCTTCCAAAACACCTGCATTAAGGAATGTTCTTGAATGACATGGGAAAATGGGCTCAATAGCTAAAACGGGCTCCTCTGAGCATTTGGGCTAAAAGGCCTTTCATCTCCCTCTCCTCCTGCAGTCAGAGGCAATACCAAATGCATGGAGCAAAAAAACATCGAGCTCAGGATGTAAGGGCTGGGGTGGGCCCAGGCTGCAGTGAATAACCCACATCCTCCAGCCTCAGTGTCCCCAGGCACTCACCCCAGTCCTGGGGTGGCTGTGGGACCCAGCAGCACGGCACTCCAGGGGTGGACAGAGGCTGCCTGGGATGACTAGGCACTTGGGGGAGGGGGAGTAATGAAAAAAAAAAAAAAATTAAAGAAACCAAAATCAGCAAAAAAACCCAAACCAAACCAAAACCAGAGATGGCTTTGTGCCTGGTGTGGCTAAAGAGCTGCATTCTGGCGACTTTTGAGCTTGCTCAGTGCTGCTGACAGGAGGAAAAGGCGCCAGCAGCAGGGAGCAGCCATGTTCCCCAGCAGGCTGGGGGGAGGAAGGCTCCCTCAGGGAATTCGTACTCACCTGGCGGTTTCATGTAATATTGCTCAATATCGGACATGTCCGTGTGCAGCGCACAATCGAGATAGTGCAGGATAACTTTTCTACTGAAGTAGTACCTCATGCCCATCAGAAAGATGGGCAAACAGCAGGTCAGCAGGAAGGACTTGGTCACAACAAAGCACATTACTATGGAGATAAGGAAGAGAAATAAACGACACCTGTCAGAAAAGAGAATTTAGTGTTGATTTCGGAATACAAACTCATTATAAAAATAAATCAATAAAACAAGCACAGTCAAAATATACATTTGCAGCACACACAGAGTTCACGCTCTCGAGATTATCGTGTTAAGGCATGGCGTATCGCGACGAGATAACCCGGAGAAGTTTATGAGGTCCTGAAGGAACCGGTGGGGAGGATACCGCCACGCCACGCCAGGGCCCACCGAGCCCCTCCGGAGCGGAGCCGTGGGGATCCCGAGATCCCCGCACCCCCCGGCCCCCTTCGCTTTCCCCGGCGAGGCCGGAACGCGGCCGGGTGGAGGAGCCGCGCTGCGGGCAGCGCTCCGCAGCCATGTGTTCGCCACTGCGGCAGTGCTATTTCCACCAACACCGACTCCCCGGGCAGCCACCCTGCTCCTTCCCACCCCGGGGGACTTCTGCGGGTGTCTCTGAGCCGGCGGCTCTCTCCGGCACGGCCCAGAGCCACCGGCTGGCTCCCCCAGCTCCCCAGCGCCTGCCGGGGGTCCCCCCTCCAGCGTGGGATCCCGTCCTCCCCGGTGCCTGTGATATGGGGTGCCACCAGCCTGCAGCCACCGGGGGCAGGAGACCACCCAAAGCCCTCTCGGGGCGGGGGACGCGCATTATTAATTACTGGCACATGGAGGGGACACCTTGCAAGCGCTATTTTTAACTCAGGGAGGTGAGGTGACCCCGCTGCTCGGCGCGGCTGCAGGGGTACCCCCTCCCCACGCCGGGGGGGAATGGGGGCCGCTCACTGGCGGGCCCGGCTGTCTCCAGGCAACGCCGGCACGCCGTGCACCCCCTCGCCGGGCTGCGCGGGGGCGGCCGGTGCTCTCCGCTCCCCTCCGCGCACCCCCGAGCCCTGCAATAACCAGAATGACTGATGTGCCCTCACCCCCGCCGCGACCTCCCCTTCACGGCTCCCCGCCCTTAACACCCGCGCAGGGTCGCGCATCCCCGGCGGCGCAAGGCTCCCCCTCCAGCCCGCCTGCCCCCGCCGCAGCGCTGCGGCTCCGCGGCCGCCCCGCACGATGCTGCGGCGCTCCCCGGCCGCACCGCGCCCGCGGTCCCCGGCGCCTCCCGCCTCTCCGACCATTTTGTGAACACCCACAGAGGCGAATTAACCCGGCGCCCCCCTCCCCAAAAGGGAGCGGATACTCACCCGCCAGCAGCCCGTAGAGCAGCTGAGTGAGGGGCTGCTGCTTCAGCCCCCTGAACGCCGTGTTGGGGATTCGCTCCATGATCCCCTCGTAAAAGATGCGGCGCACCACCTCCTGTTCAGAGGGGTGGAATTCGCGGATATATACATTGTCGCGCCTGGGGTCTTCTTTTGGTGGGGTGAGGGGAGGTGGGGGTGAGGGAGGGGAGCCCGCCAAAGAGGGCCACATCTGGGAGGACGAAACAATGATCGTGTCTTTTTTAGATCCCGGGATTGATTCATGATCTTCCGCCACAATCTTGGTCTCACAAACCATCTTGGGAGACAGACAATGCATGCAAACCGGCCGCGGGGAGGGGGCGAGGAGAAAAACGGGAGGGGAGATGTCAGAAAATTAACAAAAAGATTAAAAAAAAAAAAAAGGAAAAAGGGGAGGGGGAAGGAGCGGGGCGCGGAGCCGGCACGGAGACCCGCGGGCAGCGGCGCGCAGAACAGCGCGGCCGGGCAGGACGAGAGGAAGGAGCCCCGCTGCATTTTGGAGAGGCATTTATAGGGCGGGGGGGCCGCGGGTCCCCGGGGTCCTAGAGCCCCCCGCATTGGCTGCGCGGGGTCGCCATGTGATCGGGGGGGCGGGACACCTCCCCCTCGCCCCCCCATCCCTGCACCGCCCCTTGCAAATTACTACGGCGCGGGGTTGCGCGGAGAGTCTGGGGCCGCGCATCCCTGCCCGCATACATCGGTGCACGCCGAAGAGGGTTATTAATTTATTTTTTTATGTGTCTGTTTATCTACTGCGAACGCACTGTGCACTCAGCAGATTTCTGGAGTAGTCCCTGCGGGTGCGCGGAGCTACGCAGGGCGCTGCGGGAGCGCGGAGCCGCGGGGAGGGAGGGCCGGCCGGCGAGCTCCGCACCGCGTCCCGGCGGGCTCCGCACCATGTCCCGGCGGGCTGCGGCGCGGCTGCTCCGCCGTGAGTCCTTCCCCGCGGCGGCGCGGCCCCGCTCCGCCATCCCGCGCGGAACGCTCTGCGGGGGCGGAACGGCCTGGGAGGTGCAGCCGCGCGGCCCCGGCTGGTCCCAAACCCAAGTAAATGCCCCTCTCCATCCCTCAGCGCCCCCAGGTCAGTAACTTTTCCTGCAGTGCCCACGCCGCTGCGCGGTGCAGAGAGCGAGAGCGCTACCGGCCCAGCCGCCCCCGCGCCCCTCCGCGGGGCGGTGAGAAGAGATGGAGGGGGAGGGGGGATGCGCAGGGAGGAGGACGGGCTCCTCCTCTTCGAAGGACCCGAAAAGCTTCGGCCTCTCCCGGTTGGAACCGGCCGGCATCTGCCCGAGGCATGCGCCGTGCGCGGCCGGTGCAGGGACGGGGTGGGCGGGGGATGCTGGGCGGGGAGACGGGAGGTCCCGGATCCCCCCAGTCCCGTGGGGTGCATCCCCCGAGAGCTCCGTCTGCGCCTCCTCCTGCCCGGTGACAGCCCCCAGCCATAGCAGCTGTGCCTCTCCTCAAACTTCACCTGTGCATCCCCCCGGGACTTGCAACTGCTGCGAGCCTCAGCCATGCCTTCACCTGCAGGGTGCACCCATACACCCCATGAAAGTTTCGTCTGTGCCTCTTGCTCCGGTAAGGTGCTCCTGTGCACCCCCCGTGTAGTCATCTCTCGTTAACATCCCCGTATCCCCCTGCCAGGTGCACATGTCCCTGTGAGATGCGCCCGTGCACCCTCCCTGCAAGTTTTATCCCTGCATGTCCTGGGAGACGCGCTCTGCCATCAGGGAGTGAGGCTGTGTCACTGGAACTCTGCGGGATTTGCCTTCCTGGAGCTCACAGGCTATGCTTTGGTCCTCAGGAAGATGCAGTGACTGGATCTTGGCTTCAAGCTAAAGCTTTATTTCACTGTGATGATTTCATAGTGGTTTCATTGCTTCACTTTTCTATTAAAAATAGTTCAGGAGTATGAGAGAAGGGAGGGGGGGGGAAGGTTTAGATAAGGACTTGGAAGACTTCCCACCCAGAGGAGCGGTGCCAGCACCCCACAGGCTTGCGCTGCGCTGGGCATCCCTGGTGAGAAGCTGCTCCTCGGGTGGCTGTGGGACCTGCTCGTGGCCAGGCACTGCAGAACTGCCAGGCTGCTTGGGCACCTGCAGAGCTCCCCTTTCCAACGAGCATCGCCTGCAACTGCAGCCAGAGCGACCCCCAGCTCCCGGAGCCTCTGACTGTCTGCACTGGAGATCAAAATACAGGATTATAAAAGGCATCGTGGCATAAGTACAATAGTGGATGAGTTGGCCAAAAGATCATCTCCTGCTCAAAAGTGGAGCCTCCCATGGGAGGGAGGTCACCCCAGTGAGGAGAGGCAAGGCACATGGCACCCCTGCATCCCCCCTAACATCTCCTCTTAGCAAGGAAGGAGCAGTTGGACTCCTGCACTTGGGAGATACCTAGCAGCTCCAAATTCACCAACACAGAGTCAGTGGATGGGGGAAAAAGCTGAAAAATCAGGGCAGTGTTTGCCTTTGAATTCTAAAATCTTTGGGCCAAAGATAGGAGGTTCTGTTTCAGAAATATAATTAAGATAATGCTTAGTTCCCATATGCCTGGGTTAACCAGGCTTTTATTTTTGTTTCATCCTTTCTAGTCAGATGTATTCCTTATTTATGAAATTACTACAGTAATAAAAACAACTCATTCCTTAAAAAAAATAAAAAAATAAAAAAAAACCCAAAAAACAACCTACTGCAGTTATGTAACAGCCAAGGGAGCTCCCAGTTCTGGGCTATGGACCTGAGTGTTTGCAGATGAGTTATCTTTGGAAAAGCACTAAATACTTGTTTACTATTTATGCTGCCACATTTAAGCATCTTATGAGCAGTAATGAATATCTCCTGTTCCCCCAAGATAAGGGGGTATCATCCTTGGCCACAGCAAGGGAACTGAGGCACAGAGGGACGCAGTGATTTGTGCACCATCATGCAGTGACTCAAAGAAGGCACAAAGCACTGGACCAAATTTCCTGAGTCTTTACTCACTGTATGAATGCCAAACTTTACCTTTATTATTACAAAGCCAGGATTCAGCTTTTTCTGTAAATGGGAGTGAAGGGGAGGTTCTGGGGGTGCTGCACAATGGGGAGGAGGGAAGGAGGAGTTGAAATCTGTGACTGACCGAAGCAAATGTCAGTGAAAATTAAGGGCCTCTCTGAAATCCATTGCAAAAGCCAGTCAGGTTCACAGACAGCAGATTTGGGTCCCTGGAATGAAAAGGATATTGTTAAGAGCAGCTTGCTGGCAAGGCAACTGCTCTGCCAAGAGCTTTTGGTCTTTAAGAACACAGTTGTCATCCCAAGTCACTGAGGATTTTACTCTTGAGTTTACTTCTGCTCCTTCAGGACCTGAGGGTAAATCTCCCACATGCCATGACCGACTGCTGAACCTCACGGAGAGAACTAATTTAATTAAGATGGACAGTTTAAAGTTTGAATGTCGTGCCAGTGCTCTCAGTAGCTCTCACTGCTCAGTGTAAACCAGGCGATGGTACAGATGTTTGATCCGTTGGTACATTGGGGAAAAGGGACTGGAATAATGAGGGCAGGCTGTGTTACTCTGGGGGCTGAGGAGATTTGAGTATTTCAGTAAGAAACATGCTTTGCCTTCAGCAGGTCTGCTTTAGGCTGACTTTGCTTTGGATTAGCACATCAAACCAGTAAGCCATGGAAATGCCATTATTTATCCTTCCCAAATCTGCAGCTCTCATCTTGGGTCAAAGGGAGTCACTCCCTCCCATGAGCCCTAGGAAACACCCAGCAAATGTAGAACAGAATTACCAATTCCCCTGCTGACAAGATCATGCCCTGCTCTTTGTCTGAAATTTTGGGTTTTCTGTGCAACTCTGGGCTTTGCATGACTTGAAACATCTTCCAGCCATATTTTACTGTAGCTCTTGAAGCAGTGAGATCTGTGTGATTGCAGATTAGGGAAACAACTCAGGAAGAGCAGTTGCTCTCCCAAAGCACCTGTACCTAAGGAGTGGGGAGCACCAAGGCAAACCTCTGTGACCCGCTGCTCAGTGTCTGCTGGACAAGGAGAGGCCCTGCTGCCTCTTCTGCAAAAGCTGCAAGCAGCCACAACCCTTTGCTCATTAGGGGCTGTATCTATCAACCTCAGCAATTAACTGGTTGACAGCAAAAACTGCCCCAGGTTATATTAATGCAGTAATTCTGGAACAGCTCATCCCAGCAGGAGGAGGCTGTCTATCAGGGATGGCTCCCACCCTGTCCTTTGCAATGTCTCCATCAGTGAGCAGGGGAGAAGATATTCAGGTTTAAAGAACTTCTCAACTGCCTCCAGGTTCTCCTTCAACCTTGAACTTAGTAATTTCAGCTGTTTTTTCCACACTTGACCCAAGACACTCTGAGCAGGTTAGCACCCGCAGCACCTCTGGCTGTTTGGTAGCAGCAACCTCCCACCCTCCTGCTTTGCTGGGCTGGGGAAAAAGTAAAAGCCTCTTTGTTGACTGTAGATGTGCATATGAATGTGAGGCATTTGCCTAATAAATATCTTCCCAAAGGGGGATTAATTAGCATCCCAAGGTTTTCCCATTGCACTCCCTCTGACTGCAGCAGCTCTGCAGCACCTTCTCTTAGGGACGCTGGTTCCTGCTGAGAGCGTGCTGCTGGCCCCTTTCCCACTGCACAGACCCCCAGGGCTGAGGAGTCACGAATCTCCTGCTCTGGAGCCAACACTGGCAGCAGCTCCCATGCTGTGTGAGTGTCTGGCAGTAAGCACACACACATCCTGGTTTCCCCAGCCCTGCCATTCACTGTGACCCATCCCAGCAGTGATGAAGGCTCCCTCCTTCCCTGCGTGTCTGGGTGCTGTGAATAAGTCACTATAAAACCTGACATGCTGAATTATTTCCAACTGGTAAAAATCCATTAATTGGTAACCAGGGCCAGAGGTGGGATCTGCTGACACACACAGATCTCTGCTGGTGTTGGAGCTGGCTGGCTTTTGCTTTGGGCACAGCAAAGTGGGAAAACAGGCTCCTTTGGAGTCATGGAGCCTCACAACCCAAAGCAGATCTCAAATAGATCGAATGAATCATGTGCTAAAAGCAGTTGAGTTTATATATAAAAGGGAGTTAGGGGTGACTAGCTTAGCTGTGTAAGTCTCCCCGGGGGATCTCTGAAGATTAATCTCTTCCTACAACTTTTTTGGGCTGAAAGAATTTTGTGGGTTGTGAATTAAATACGAATGTTTCCCAAACAGTGTGCACGCCCACGGCTGGCTTTATCCTGTCGAATGGGGATTTTGGAACTTGCATGTACATTTAATGCACAATAACATCTATGCTGAAGAAACCCCAT